TCGTGTGTTGGCAGCACCTCTTGTGGAGTCCCCTCTATCAAAGGCAGGGACAGCTTCATTATGGACAGTGGGAGCACAGCACAGTTGAAACATATTTTGCAATAGTTATCAAAGTAAATTACAGCATTGTTAGTCAAAAGTTAACAAATTTTTAGTAAAAAGCACCTCTTGCCAGAATAGGGAAGGATTCTGGCTATATTTCAATAGGATTTGGGTATCCAGGTCCCCTAATCTCATCCTGGCCTTGTGTCTGCAGAAAGCAAAACAACTGAAGCTGACAATTAGTCAGTGTAGCCTGTCGTGTCTTGGTCTCCTTGCTGAGGTTTGGTTTGGCTGTGAGACTGCCTGGGTGATCAGCCGTTTGTGGCATGTGAATGCAACTGAACACTAATTCTTCCCTCCAGGTTACAGGGGCATAGTTGAGGCAGAGGTCTGCAAAGGATATGCTTTCTTACACATCAAAAGCTACTTAGATGATATTAAAAACAAATTAAGATGAGATTTCTAACAACTCTGAATATTGGCCTTTACTCTAGCTTATTTCTCACATTACAATCCATCTTTTCCAACAGGTGATGCAGGATGTTGGCCCCTACCTGAATTGGGGCTGATAGGAACCTTGGCCTTCGCAGCACTGGATGTGCTACTCACAGCTTCCGACTGATGGAGGAGTCTACCTGGGTGCAGGTGGTTCCCACAAGCTTTGTCTCTACTGGGGCTTAGGGGAGTCCAATGCTTAGCTTTCAAGGTCTGAAAATACACCAAGTTAAGCTCAGTAGTGATGTCTCTCACCTTTGATTGTTGCCACGTTGTAACAAAAAGATTCCCTTCACACCTGAGTTTAGCTTAGCCTGTTGTTCAGGCAGGAGGTGAAGGGCATTACAGAAGAAGAAAGATAGTTAACTTATTTCCTCATGAAGTTTGTACTATGTTTCTCTTACCATATTTAAAAACCACCCTAGTTCCACTGGGTCTATGACTTTTGCTCAACTCGTTCTCATTAGAAAGAAACACAAAGGATCTACCCTGTGGAAGTTTGGTCTGAGGGAGTGAGATCTCTTCTTTCTGGCTGTCTTCTCAACAGACATCTCCTGGTCTCTTCCATTCTTCAGCACTCCCCTGACTGGAGACCACAGCTGGGTCCCAGGTGAGGGGTCTAACACCAAACTCCTGATAGTTACATCGTCTCTTGTCTGAAAATCCAGAGTGGAATTGGCCTCTGGATACTTCAGCTCAGGCATATCCTCCTCCTCAGAGAAGTGGTCTGAGGAGACTTTGCTCCCAGGGTCTCTGTGTTGGGCTCTGGAATGGTGACTGGCTGCAATGAGGGAGATGCTTTTTGTGTTGACAGCAATTTCCTTCAAGGTCTCCAGACTCAGTGGAACAGCAGCAATGTCTGCAGGTGACTTTTTCCCATGCAGGTCTAGAGAGGCAGGGGAACTCAGCCTGGGAGTCATCTTTCTTGCAGCAACACCTTTTGGTTTCTGCTAAAAGTCAAAGTAATTGCAGCATAATAGGCTTTTTATTCAAAGCTTTTATTCTTTTCCCCTTTAAACCACTTTCAAATATTTGGAAGACATTCCATTTCACCAAAATTGTTATAATGACTTCTATGTATAGAGAAACAAAGGCAAAGCTTTTTGACTCTGTATCTCCCATAGAGCCATGGCTACAAGAGGAGTCAGCTGGCAAGCAAGAGACTGATGAGCTCCTGATGCTCCTTTCTGTTCCAGGATGCTGAGTGAAATTGGTCTCACCAGATAATCATCAAACCAGGGCCCAGCAGATCAGTTAATGGCATAAAAGGAGGTGACCATCCTGGACAGCACAAGTCCCCTCACACCAGACCATGCATCATAGGATTCCTAGTTACAGAGCCTGTCATTCTGCTGCACACACTGTGGTTCGCAGAGGGAAAGCCCAAATTGGAGGTGGCATCTAAGCCTTGGACTCTTCAGGGAATTCCAGGCCTTAAACCCAATGCCAGTGCTCTGAGAGTGATTGTATTGCCTGCCAAGGTTTACCTTCCTCACATAGAATAGATTCAGCTGCTGTGCACGTTCTCCCACCACAAGGGAGGTGCTAAACACAACGAATGTGCCTGGAATTCAGTTCCTGACATACTGACCTGCTGAA